GGGGGCCCCCCGGGCGGGGCGGGGGGGGGGGGACCCCAACCCAAGGGTTTTGACCCCCTTCCCAGTCCAAAAAAAAAAAAAAAAAAAAAAAAAAGAAAAGAAACCCTCGGGTGGTGGGGGGAGGAGGGAGTTTGAACAGATGAATCACCTGGAATGACCTGCTCTGATTCACAGTGGGCAAGATATGGGAGGCACATAGTCAAAAGGCTATACCTCCCATCTCCCATCTTTCTACCCCACAATCCACATGATCACCAGACACAAGCATGAGTTTTCGCTAATTTGCTCTGGGTTTCCATCATTGAGTGCTCAGCACATAGACAGGTGTACATCAGGCTGTCCTCTTACCTCCATCCTTTTAATGCCTCCAACACCTCGCCCACCGTAATAAGAGGCATCTACTGTAGGCCACTTTTTCTTAGGCAGACCATCATCATCTTCTTCCTGCAGAGAGATTGTGACACATGAAGGAAGCAAAGCACCATCCCTGAGTGTTTGTGCCCACTGTGACAAAATGGGAGGGAGGAAAGCTTGAAGAGCCAGATTACTGGGTGCTACTGCTTGCTGGGACCTTCGGCGTCAACCCATCAAAGCTAATTTTCCTTATCTGTAGAGTGGGAATGAAAGCAGCACTACCTGGTAAGGTTGTGCCACAATCCTGGGACCTGCTCTCTTCTGTATCTCTACTCCTTTGTAGGGGATCTCATCTAGTTCCACCTACAGGCTGAGGGCTCTTGAACTTAAATCTTCAGTTCTGACTCCTCTGACCTCTAACTGCTGACTTGACATTGACATCTTCTCTTGGGGGATGAATAAACATCTCAACAATGCCACATCAAAGAGCAGTCCTGATTTCCCCACCCCGAACCTGCTTCTCCATAGAGGGCTCTTGAACTTAAATCTTCAGTTCTGACTCCTCTGACCTCTAACTGCTGACTTGACATTGACATCTTCTCTTGGGGGATGAATAAACGTCTCAACAATGCCACATCAAAGAGCAGTCCTGATTTCCCCACCCCGAACCTGCTTCTCCATAGTCTTCCCCACTGTCTGGGAATCACTCTTAAATCCTCCCTTCCCCCATCACCCCTCTTACACCCCATGCCATTTGCCAGCAAGTTCTGTTGCTCCTACTCCTAAAAGATTCCAAGCCCACCTCCACCACCCTGGTCTCAAGCCCCCAGGAGCTTTCTCCTGGATACTGCAGTAGCCTCCAAACTGGCCTCACTGCTGCCCTCTTACTCGCCTACAATCCGTTCTCCCGGAAGCAGCAGAATAAATCCAAAGCCCGACCTGCCCTGCCTGCTCTGGCCTTTGCACACCTCTCTTTACCACCCTCTTCTCCTCTCTGTGCTCCAGCCTGCCTGCCCTCTCTGTTCCTCAAATTCTCTGAGCTCAATCCTGTCTCAGGGCCTGTGCACAAGCTGTCCCCTAGTCCAGGAATGCTTTTTCCCCATCTTCTCCTAGCTTTCTTATCACTCCTCGGAGAGGCATTCCCTGGACATCTTCTAAAGTAGCCCTAGTCTCTTCATCCCATCAATCTGTTTTATTTTTAGTTATGGATTTTATCATGGCTTGATATTTATTTATTGTCTGTCTCTCCACACTAGAATGTAAGTTCCATGAAACTTTTGTTTATTTGTCGTGTTCACCATTATATTCCCAATTTTTAGAGCAGCACTACTTAGTATGCTGTAGGTGACCAAGAATTATCTGTTGAATTTACAAATAAATTAAGTGATATGATTCAAGTAAAGCAGTTAATTCGGTGCCCACAACTTGACTCAGTGACAAGATGTTAGCACTTACAACATTTTTTAAGATGAAGGGAGGAAATAAGAGGATCTTACAAGTTTATGGATGGAAAAGGGAAGGATAATTAGCAAAACTGCTTTTCATCTTGGCATTGAAATTATTTCTGTCATGGAAAAAACAGTATCGTCATTTATAGTCGTGGATGAACTATAAGGAAGTGGCATGATTTTCTTGCTGGGTAGAAAAGGGAACTGGAAAAGGGGTCTATAAAGTATAGGGATGAGCCAAAGAGGGCAAAATTGCTCAAAATGCTTAAGCCTGCTTAACCATAGCCTTGTTTAGGTGGCATGTGGAGACTCAATGACTCAGGGGGGAGTCCTATGTAGGGCCACTGCTGTGTGGAAAGGGGCATCTCTTGCAGAAGGCAAGGTATAAAGCAAGGGCAAGAGGTCAGCAGAAGAGAGATCAGGACCAGAGGTGAAAGCGAAATAGTGACACATGAGCACATTAAGACTCCCAGGTTATGTACTGGACTTGAGATGGACAGGCTTCTTTTAGCTGACACTTGGGTCCATCTCTCTCTGTTTTTTTTTTTTAAAAAACAAATCTGTCCTTTTCCATCATGGGGCTGTGTCCCCCAAAGGCAGAGTGCATTCTGTTGACTCCTGCACTGTGCAAGTGCACAGTAGGTGCTCAATAAACACAGATCGAATTCATTGATAATCATACCATTGAATTTATGTAGCCTCTTCCACTTACGTGGCAGGTGACTTATGTGCCAGTCACTCAGATCTAAGTGCTTTACACGGATTAACCCTTTAATCTCACAACCAGCCAAGGAGGTAGGTAATGTTATTGTTCTTATTTTAGAGAACACGGGTAGAGTGGTTAAGTGACTTAGGTCACTCAGCTGTGGTGGCAGAGCTGGATGTGAACTCAAGGAGCCTCATTCTCATTTGATTGTTTGTCAGTGTTGGCAGGTTCTGGGTTTTGTCCCCTTGGGTTCTAGTTTTCCAGTCATTTGATGGTATCAAATAAATGCTAATTTTCTACTTGTCACCCTTTGTACAAGAGATGTCAAAGCAAGAACTTTATGCATTATAGCTAAGCTTTACCACTGGAGGTGGATGCACGTTTCTGTGTAACTGTCTGTACACATAGATGCACGAAATAGGGCTCCAAAACGCCTGGGCACCCCTTTGTCTAGGGCAGTTTTCCAAGGGAGATAAAAGAAATTCTATCTCCTAAAACTGAACACAGCAGCACCAAGAATGAGAGAATCTCCAAGAATAAAGCTGCTGTATTCAGCAGGGGATTGAAACGGCCTCATGAATCTCCTAATTTTTAAAATTAGAGGAATGCAAACATTAGAGACCATCTAACTGAGCCTTTTCATCACACAGAAGAGGACAGTCAGATCTAGAGAAATGAAGTGACCAATGGAGGTGAAGTTCTGGTCTGTTTCCTGATGCCTCATCCAGAGATTACCTCTCCCTCCCCACCCCTCTGAAACTTCACGACATGAACTTAAAGAAGGATTTACAACTGGCTTTCTCTAATTTGCAAAATCCCTGAGTACTTAGGATATAATAAGTTGCATAAAGTCGGTTTCCACTCTTTTCCTGGCTCCCTTGCACAGCCAAGCAGCCTTCAGTTGTTTTTTGGTCCCTTTGGGCCCCTCTGGACTTGCAGTGGGCCATGCCGGAGGAAGGTGGGCTGTGCCTGAGGAGAAGAGCGGCCAGTCCCCTGCGCATGCGCATGGCCCTTCTCTCTGACACCAGGAAATGCCTAGACTTAAGAAATCTGCTCCACATGCTCCTGATGTACCAGGCGCATCGTCGTTTAGTCCCCTGACTGGAGCTTGACTGCCAAACTCAAACAACAGCAGCAAGAATCAATACAAAAGTCCAGGGTTTGACCAACGGGAGAGTCAGAGTTTTCCCTGCCGTTACCATGGCTCTGTTTACACATTCTGGAGACTGGAGAGTTTTGCAATCCCCAGGAAGAGAAGGAAATCTTTGATGTGTCTTTTCATTTGGCCAGAAATTGATGGAGTAAGAATCAGTCTCCAGCAAGTCCACTAAGAAATTAAGCAGCACCTGAGGGTGAATTTCTATATCCAATTAAAGTATAAAGGCACTTGGGAAATCCTCCCCCCCAACCCCCAATGCACTTCAAAGATGTAGCAGGGATGGGGAAAACCACTGGTACAGAAATCCTCAGTTGAGCTAGCTTTCTTTTAGTGGAAACAAAAGCCAAAAACCAAAACGTCTATGTTTGCTATGGTTATGCAAGTACAGGACTGGCTAAGCTGAATTGCTTATATGAGCAAAGTAGTAGGAATCAGGGGCTTGTGGGAAACTGGCAGGGGATGAGCAGAAAAGAGTGAAGTTGAGCTACCAGCAAACTGCCAGGGCCCACCTGAGGGGGTGGCCCTGAGAACCTCCCAGCAGTGGGGGCGACAAGAACGGTAGAGAAGAGGCTGTTTAATATCTTGCCAGAAGTTATTTGTTGGCCACTCTGCATTGTCCCCCAGCCTTCAGCAAAAGTTGCTGGGCAAATGGCCTTGTTTCATGGGTGCCCTGGGGGGAGTGTAGAAATCAGTGTAGATGCCATCTAGCAAATGAAGATGAGGTAACGCAGAAGAAACAAGAAGTCAGAGTTACTGGTGCCTGGGAGAAACCACAAGGATTGGGGAGGGATGCTGGTTTCCCATCAGAGGAAGTTATGTTTAAATCTCAAAGGATGTGGTGGCCCTAGGCGTCCAGTTGGCTGACATTTGGGTAACACAAGTGGCAGCACATTCCTCAGATGGTAGAGGCCCATTCTGACCTGCTTATCCTCAGGCAGACCTGGCTGTGTCCTCAGGGACCATCTTGTTGAGGAAGAAACTGCTGTAGAATATGAAGTCTGATATACTCACTTGGTTAACCCATAACTGGATTTGTCCTGTGCTGTCCTCAGACGCTGAACTTTTCCATCTTTCCCACTCATGCCAGGCTTTTGTACAGCTTCAACATTCAGGGATCCATATCCCTGGAAAACCTTCCCCCTACTTTTTCTACCTGTCCTTTAAGATACTGTTCAAATGTAACCTCTTCTGTGAAGAACTCCCTGATTTCCCAGAGAATTCAATGCTTCCCTCTCTTGTGCTCTCACTGCTCCTTGTGTTGACCTCCATCACTCAACAAATATTTAACTATTAGTTATTCAGCAAACCAGCGAGTAGAAAGAGTGAGGTCTCAGATCCTAGGGCTGCTTCCTCCTGCATATAGACTGTGCACTGGAGAACTCTACAGACTTGATGTGAATAGCACTCCCTGGAGCTGTGCATATGATGGCCCTCTCAGACTCAATCCACAAGTTCTTTAATATTCTTGCTCCTTTGACATCCATTTGCTAGAAGAGCCAGATGGCCAGTTTGACCCCATTGGACTCTCAACCCTAATTCACTGGAGGAACCAATGGGAACTATTGATGAAAAGGAGACAATATTGAAACAGAATTGAGCCCAAGGCAATAGTTTTAAATAGGCTTTTGAATTAATTTTAAATTTCATTGAACTGTAACATACCTTAAACCCATATGATAAGCCCTATATGGTGCCAAACAAGGGCCATGTAGTTGTCCACTTCTTCACTCACTCAAACAACTGTAGTTGAGCACCCACTGCTTGCTGGACAGTATTA